AATTAAAAATTTTAAATTGCATGAACAATTAGTTGTTTTACAGTTACAGGGTGATGCAGTAATAAATGTGTTATAACTAAATAATAGTTGAATTGAGAGGAAAAAAAAGTAAATTTATTCAACCCATTCAATATAATAGCGAACATTTTTATCAAACAATCAATAATAATTATTTCTAATGACAAAGTAATAGAATATAAATTTATAGTTTTTACTATGTTTGAATAAAAATATTGGATTAATACCACTAATGTGATGTACAATTATAATAATATTATGTAAAACAATTTAAAAGATTTTAAATAAATATTTAATTAAACCAAAATGTTTAAATAAAAAAGGCAACTTAAAAATATTAACATTATTACATATATAGTCATATGTAATTCAATTAAATATTCATAAAATATTAAATTTAAATTTAATCAATTAGTCTTTGAGGCCAATTCTTTCAACCAACTTGTTAACCAACTCAACATACTGAGTTTTAGCTTTATCAGTATCAATACCTTTTTTACCATTCCATGATTCCCATTTTGCTTTTCCTTTAAAATCTAAAAATCCTGGCTTGGCTAAAATAAAACAACAAAATATTATTAATTACTTTTAAAATATTAATTCAATTTTTTGAAATAGTCTATAAATTTTCATTTATCAATTTATTAAAATTAAAATATTATTTACTGACCAATATTTTATAAAAAATTATTTTCATTAATTAGTTGACTAGTAAGTTAATGAAAACATAGAAAAATTATCTATCTATATATATTTTAGAGTAATAATCTTAACTCCATCATTTCACCTAAGAGGTATCAGTGATTTTTATTTTATTTTATTTTAAAAGGCATTCGAATCAAATAGAAAATATTAAAATATATATTCAAATAGAAAATATTGTAATGAATATTTTTAAATTACAAATAAAAATATAAATTCTTAACTTAAACAAACTTATTGAAATTTATTATAAACTATAATTAACAGGAAAAAAATTATATACTATTATGATCTTCATTAGACAGAGCCTGGACTAGTTTGTCTCGCTTGTATTTCTCCTTATAAATATATTGAAGGAATTCATAACACTTCACCGAAAGATAGCTTGTCATTTTTGTGTACCTTCCATAATACAAAATTTATCTTAATTCTACTTACCAGTGTTACAATCACCCATAGTAGCCTGCTTATAATAACCATATAGCTCCAATAAATCATTATCACTTGGTGTTTCCTTTAAGTTTTTAACTTGTTCCACGGCTTGGTCAAAAGACTACAATTTACAATAATATCATAGTAAATTAATGTATAATAATATTATTTTGATATTTAGTTCTATTATAATCAAACCATTTAAATAGCTAGACAGTAACCATTTGTATTTTAAATTGTTAAAATCTTATTTGATTAAACATCATTAGTAAATGATATATTAATAAAGCTTATAATTGGCAAAACCCAGTAGTACAAAAAAAAAAAACTTATATTAATTAAAAAATATTCAAAAATAATAAAATTATTAAATCATTGAAAACGAATATTAAGTATTAATAAAATACTCACCATAGTGTGTATTTTTTTAGGGATGAAAGACAACTTAAATATTTATTCTTATGAACTTTAAGAGCCAATAAATTGATAGTAGGCGTAAAAGACAGCACTGAAATTACTAGTTGAAATGATTCGTAAGAATGTAAATTGTTTTGTTGTACCGGGCCACGGTGCAAGGTATGATACGCTGATAAATGATAATATTACTCGAGTATTTGGAAGTCATGTTCGCAATTCAAACGGTACTATTGTGGAGAGGGGGCAATAGCGGTGTGACATTGAAAAAAGGCTATGGTTACACACAGGCGTTATTTAATAAACACACGAGTAAAATGCTTTAAATTATTAAAGCTAAATACACACCAGAAGTTACAAAAATGCATACTTGGTACATGCACTGGCGATACCAGAGACTGCCAAAGGCTGGTTTTTAAATTTCTTTGTAATATAATTCCCTACATATTACGATAAAGAAAAAAATGTTTAAATAAAGTTTTCAAATCACCAAAATATCATAGCATATCGCACTATCCTGTTTGTTT